AACCATACATAAACTTGCTGGGCATGAACAATCTAATACAGATATGCTACAAGGTTTGGCCTTAGTGTCTGGCCCATTCCCTTGGATCTTATTAGGAGAATATTTTGCCATGAATGCTTAGATATCCAGGTGAGCGATACAGGCCCTCTTGGCCTCTCGTGTTTTTTTATTACCTCACCTGGCACCAAGTACCAGTTGAGCTTTTAGTGTGTTGTTCATCGTCCATCAACTTTTTCTTTGAAAGACTTCTCAAGAAATAGAGAACCTAGAGCCATGATATTTGCCAGTAGGTACCTGGGATGGAGTACTATTAAGTTTTCTTAAGTAATTGACCTTGACCTACTTTCAGGGTCAATTTATATATACAAACATTTAAACATCTTCAGAATAATCAAGACGTCTAGAGCAATGCTATTTGACTCTTCTTCCAACCAGTGTCGATTGAAAACACATAAAAGATATCACCAATACGCATTTTCCCTACGCAGTGACTGTCACAATTTCAGAAGGAAATATCTGTTGGCACGCTTTTTGTTAGAGTTTTGCAATGTACAACGACTGGGTTGTAGCGTAAATGAAAAAAAAACCACAAATCCCATTGTGGTTAAAGATGTAGAGTGCATACTTATTTGGAACTGCTGCACCCGTGGTAGTATGATGACAAATGGTGGTTTGTTTGGTGTTGATCCTACCAGACTTGTAGAGTGTTGGGTGCGTTATCGATGTGAAACGTGAGGCATTTGGTACCCGCGTTGTTAAGACATCATGACTCTGGTGCTTCTGTTCAACAAGGTAGCGTGCCAGGCAGGACACACCAGTCGTGTCTTCTTCAACTTTCAACTTCAAAATATCGAAACAATGCTCAGGTGTTAGATTGTCGACACATCCCCAAAAGATTGATCACGTTTGGGACGTATTCAGACAACGTCAAAATCAGACTCGTGCCTCCCCTTTAGTGTCTTACAAAAACAGTTTTATATCCGGGAAGTTTTTGTCGCAATATATTCCCAATTTCCAAGGATCTCTTCAATGCATTAACTGAATATGACTCAGCTGAATGTTGATTTTAAATACCTTCTTTTTACTGTGGTCATATCAAGTATGTGTTTCTGTAATCTAAGAATGGTAATTATTCATGTAAAGCGCATATGAGAAATATTGCAATTTAAAACATCGGTTTTACTTGAAAACCGTGTTTTATTACTTGTATATTAAATATTTGTAGCGGTGTGTAAAGTCAGTCCCATTGTAATACTGATGATCTTCTGAAATTATTTGCTTCCAAATATTATCTGACCAAAACTACTTATAAATGAACGTTATTCAACACTGAGCGTAGGGTATGTTCAATTACCCTTTGAACAATTCGGAAATGAAATCAAGATTAATCGAAATTAATTCTCAACAGGCATACAATACATTTATTTGCCTATTAATGCTGTGTCAACGACTATAAGTTGGTTTTGTTTGGGAATTTACCGATAACATATTTTAGGGTTAGCGTCATGTTAAATGATTCAGTGAACCAGGCTGAGCAGAATCTGAGCGTATCTGTGAAGTTCTGGCCTACTCGCGCCATTGTCGATCGTAAAAGTCATTTGGGAAAACGTTTCAGAAAACGACTCCAGTATGCTTTAGGAGGTACGAATTCGTTAAAGTTGAAATCATTTACGAAAGAAATGTTCCGAACTTTTCAAAAATACCCATAATGTCAGGAATGAATCCTATTCGAACTTTACTGCAAGGTTCGTATAAAGCATCGAAAAGACTTACTAGGAATGTTGCCTTCCATTTAATGAGATGCTACTGTTGCACAGCTTGTTCCAAAACATTATTTTTTGTGTTTCCACTGCATTCAATATAGACTGAATACCGAGTGACTGAGTGGTTGCCAAAGTTGATGACGTTTTTGGAAGACCAAGACAGCGTCTGCAGGCGTATCAGCATTGTTTTGTGTGCGAGTGTTCCATATCTCACAGCCATACACCATAGATGGGAATGCTACACGTGTCACTATGTTTGCACTAATCAAAGGATGCTGTCCACTTTGATAAAATACCAATTCCTGCCAATGAGATCAATGATTTCCGACCTTTTCTTTACTCGCTTCAATCAATGGAATAGTTGAATTGAGGTTTGGATACTGTTTGGTAATATTTAATGGTAAATAAACACAAAAGGAATTATGTACATGCACTTTATTGTTTTTATTTGCTATTTGATTCGAAATTTCATTGAAATGAAAACGTTACTCACGATAGACGGTCACGCTTTTCCCCTACCGTTGCAGGTATTGAACATTTCTCAATCTGTTGAATTTATATAGCCGTCTGCATACTTCCCCCATCTTTCTACCAGCTAAAGAGACGAAAATCCTAATTTGAAGAATATACTAAACTGATGAAAACAAGATATAAGGGGACCAAACATTTATCATGCTTCCGTGATGATCTATGTTGAAGCTAACAACGTTGGATATCAATCTAGTCTTACTTTAACTAGATAGCATGTTTGATAACATACCACAACCGCAGTGACTTTATTCCTCCAGATTTGAGGAGTTCACTGGTTCAGAATAATAAAGGTACAAAGTACAGAAATAACAATGATTATCATGTTAAAAGAAAAAAATACTGTTTAATCAAATCTAATGACTATAATATTATCGAAACACACACACACAAAAGGATACTAGAGAGGGTGAATATTGCACACTTATGGGATATGAAGTAGGGAACACAAACCTTTGTTTCTCTGAGATAGACTATGACAAGGTGTCACGAAGGCGAAGCCCGGGTAAAATATAATTTATCGAGGAGAAACAAAGCATTGTGTTTCTTTACAGTAAGAGCAATAAGTATTTTTATTTTGCTGAAAAATAACAATAACACAAATATTAAGATGATTAGGTTGACACTTCATTGTTGTAATCTGCCTCAATGTTGTCCATTTTCGAGAGAGGCTCCTCCTGATAAGGGAACTATGAACACCCAAACCAGTGAGGACGTGCTTTATGGTCCCGTCATGTAATCAGTATAAGCTAATCAGACACGCTGTTATATAGTTGTGACAGAATAAAATATATTATACAACTCTCTGTGGAATACCTCAGATGTCTCACATAAAAATGTTGAATCGGTGGAAACCAAAACCATCATTCGTATATGTTAACTGGATCTGGATGTCATCGTTAAGAAATTAATGATCAAGTTGGTTGTCAAAACGAAATAAATTCACACATATCAGCATTTCTATTATATGATTGACAATGATTGTGTAAATTTCTACAGGATATCTGTTTGCATTTAACCAGAAAAAACATATAAAAAAAAAAAATACAAATAGTTTCTTAGTACCTCCCTAGCGCTTTCACTTCTTTAGAGATTTATTAGGAATAATGTCAGATGCTGATATTTTTTCCATGATTGCCATAATTGAGATTATTATATGCTAATTCCCAGCCCTGATTGGAGGAGCGACGCCATGTGACAAGTCTGTAAATAGAAAAGTGTTACAGACTTCGACCTTTACTAGTCCTAGGTAGTTTCCCAGCCTGTCTGTACATCTGTTACAAATCACACTAATGAATTCAACTACAAATATATTATAAAATTCTGAACTATATGATGCTATGGATGATGTCGATTGTGTAAATGATTTTTTACTGAAAATTAAATATCACATGAATCAAATCTGAAATTGTGTATTAGTCCTTCACTCTGTAATTCCAAAATGGTCCATGCATGCCATCCAAGTGTTTATGACATGAAAAATGATAAGTCTTATTGTAAAATGTCCTATGATAAAACAATTGTGGACTTCAGTTTCGGCCTATCCCCGAAGATCGAGGTGAATTTTGTTTAGACCAGGTCCGTAAATCAGGGATAGACTCACCTGAAGCCCATAATTGTTTAATGTTGCTTTGAATTTGTCGAAAACTTACTTTCAGGGCAATCATGCTAGTCAGAGTTTGCTTTTAAACGCAATGACTTTTGACAGTTAAGACATTTCCATATATGTAAAATTAGAATAAGAATTATTTCCAAATTTTACTAATGTATGATTAAGAATATGTCAGATATAAAACCATTTCTATACCGCATGATATACTAACATTGTTCTGACACTGACATTATAGGTCAAAGGGGTATCAGTAAAGGAGGAATTTGCCAAAAGTTTAACTGTTTTCAACCTTTGCTTAATTGATGTCAGTCATAGAAGGCCAAGTGCAATGTCCGAGTAGGTTCGCCATTTCCATGGGTCTCGGTTTCTTTAACCCAATGATAAGTATGTATTAAGAAACAATCGCTTAACAGGTAAAGTACATTTATTTCTCCTTATTATATGTTTCGTAACTTAATGATTATTAGTATTTTACAGTACAAGAAATCTTCATACTAAGGGGAAAAGTTAATGCTTGCGAATTTACCTGAGATGTAGATGATATTCAAGCAACATGTCAAAGAAATAAATATATAACGACCTAATTATCCAGCAAGAGAAATAATCTATAATAAGAGAGGCCTAAATAGTAAACACGCTTACTTCATACATGTATAGCTATGTGTGGCCTTGTATAGAATGCTATTGTGTGGGCTTGTGGTATATCGGTCATTTGTGTGTATGTGTAGACGCTTGATTGCATGGGTGTCTCTTTTATATATTTCCTTATGCAAATAGACACACTCGGCTATATTCAATATGCCTACTATTGTCCAAAAAAGCCATCATTATATACAACTAAGGTGTAGATAATGTATGTAGACAAGTAGTGTACGTATATGATGTATGTTACGCTTCTGCTTTCTTTATCGATCGATGCACAACAGGAAGTTAAGATATATACACAATCATCAAGAAAATGCTGACACAGAGATCAATCGGGGTGGAAAACACGAACATACCTGTTCGGGATTCCCTATCCAATGCGCATGCTACTGAACTATATATAGGGTATTTGCCTACTATAAACCAATGACAACGTCTCACGTTTGTGCATATATAAACAACCACTGCGGTTTAGACGTCAGTCAATACAGACCCCTTAATGCCCAAGGTAGGTAATGGCATTGACAATCTTATCTTAAAAGCCGATTTTACAAAAAATATCATGATGCAGTACTCACGTTTATTGCGTAGACACTATAGTTAATACATAAACGGGTTCTGTTCATGATATATTCATAATAGAAGGAGATCTATGGACGAGGTCTACCCGCAGTTTATTTGTGATGTCATATTGCTTCACCCCAATTATTAATATCTATGACTCGTCACAGAAATAGCCATTGACACACAAGCAACGCCAGATTACTTGAAGATGTTTTTTGGTGGAGTCTGAGTAGTTTCTTGGTGCTTTGTGTCCATGCAACATATGTTTGATATGTTTTGATTGATTTATTGAATGATCGTTGTAACAGACATTTTGAAGTTATAAAGGTATTAAATTAAACACAATTTTAAAAGTAAGCCGCCATGACATTTCAATTTGTTTTACATGGCCTGTATGAACTTGCTGACATTGAAATGTCACGTTTGGATTTTCTTTTACTAATAAAGATAAAGACATCTTAAGAAAATCGTTATTTAAAATTTCATGCTTTCTTTGACTGTTGTTAGGTTTTCATTAAACATTTGTTTTTTGTATGCCGTGTAACATAATTTCAACGTTTGTTTACAACTCTATCTAAATAATGCTGTGGTTTTATTTTTGAATATGCATGCATTCCTAAAGACGTTTCCTCCTCAGTGAATGTAGACTGTCGTATTTTAGCTGTTAACCTAGCCGCTTACGTAAATTAAGAAACGTTTTTAATCGAAAGGGTTAACGGTTTTTGCTTTCTTAATTGCAAACCTTTTTTTAAATCTCCCCTCTTCTGAAATTGTTGGAGTTTTCATTCTTTCTAACCACACTTGTCACACGTCCATCCCATCTTCCTCTTTTGTCTATTGAACTTTTAAAAACCTGTTCATTTGAACAAAGATTATCGTCAATGTTACAGTAATATGATTCGTGCATCCTATCTTTTTGAAACTTTCAATATAAACACGTTGCACTTGAAAAATCATATTCCTTCATTTTTCTCTTTAATTTTTCATGCAATGAGGAAATAAAAAGTATTTATTAATAGCCTTCCATATGCATTAAAGCTTCTGACGGCCACTAAATTACCATGTATTGTTTTATCACGAGGATAATGTGCAAACATCCTTTTCAACTGTTCAACACTTCACTTTTTATCTTCCTAGCGTTGTTTGCAAACGTTGATGGTAACACTGAAAAACAAGGAGCAAACTAAGGAAATACAGCGAGGTAAACTCTTAATAACTCAGGAATACAGGGGGGTAAACTCTTTATAATTCAGGAATACAGGGAGGTAAACTCTTTATAATTCAGGAGTACAGGGAGGTAACTCTTCATAACTCAGGAATACAGGGAAGTAAACTCTTTGTAATTCAGGAATACAGGGAGGTAACTCTTCATAACTCAAGAATACAGGGAGGTAAACTCTTCCTAACTCAGGAATACAGTAGTTTATTCTTCTTTTCAGATGCCTCCCATCAAAAGAAAAAGCACGGAGGTAACTATGGCAAAGAAACTTAGTCTCCGGCGGGACACCACAGTAACGCTAGCGTCATCAGACGAGTCATCTTCTCCCGCTTCTTTACGGTCTTCAGCATCCATAAGGCGCACCACCTCAAAATTGTCTGTAAAATCTTCATCCTCTATCACCTCACTTAAACGAAAAGCGACACTTGTTTCGGAAGGACCCGGTATCTATTCCTCAGTAATCGCTCTTGACTCTGGCTCTTGTGTCGGGAAAACCGGAAGTCTTAAAGCAGCTTCAATTGGAAAGGATTGCGATGTTATACCGGTTCCCCCACCGGTTTCTAAACGGCGAAGTGGAAGTAGGACGTCAGCAGCAGTTAATACCCTGCGTAAATCTGTGTCCGAGTTGAAAGATCTGATGGAGACAACATCAGCAATGAAAAGTTCTCTATCAAAAAGAAAGTCATCCCTCGTTAAAGAACCATCCCTGACAAAGGCATCGCTCTCCAAACGGAAGTCCAGTGTCCCTGGCCTAAATCCCGGCACCGATTCAACCACTAGTCCACCATTACCACCCGGAGGTCTACTTGAGATCGCTATTTCATTTGACACCACGGGATCTATGTATGGCTCTCTGGAGGAAATTCGTGGCAGGATAAAAGACATGGTTCAGCGGTTACAGGCAGACATCCCGGGAATCAGGATAGCTATAATCGCACATGGCGACTATTGCGATGCCAAAAACTACATCGTAAAATGGATTGACTTTGGGGCAACTGTCCCTGAGCTGTGTGATTTTGTAGAAACAGTCAAACGTACCGGTGGCGGAGACGCGGACGAATGTTACGAGCTGGTGCTACGGAGGGCGCGAGAAGTGTTGTCATGGACACCAGGCAGCCAGCGATCTCTAGTGGTGATAGGAGATAGTCCGCCTCATGAACCGGGGTATACGTATGACGGCTTTGTGAACGACATAGATTGGCGAGTGGAGGCTCGAGAGCTTAAGAAAATGGTAACTAGCTTTTGATGGTTGCAAAGCGTCATATCTCATATTGGTTAATTTCATGTTCAGTTTAAAATGATTTCTTATCTAAATAAAGTAGACTTTCTACTGATATTTTAAATTTAATTAGCGAACAATCTGGTTTGGATTTTTCTTTTGCAATATAAACTATGACCAATATAAATTGCACATTATATAAAAATGTTGTATTATGCATGACTTGTCACAATCCAACATGGTTTTTTTCAGGGTGTCAAGATATACAGTGTATATGTTACACAGACCACGGTGTTTCGTATAAATCGAAATTGGTAGGTAGTTCAATATACCACGTGAAAAGAGATTATGTAATTTATGTTATTTAAGAGAAATTGGCGACCTATTCCATTATCTGTTTACCTGTACACACCAACCAATACTCAATACTAGACGAAAACATATGTCCAGATATCATTATGAAAGACCAAACACATTTAAGTAGCATACATTATTTAATTATGTAACACAACGTAAATTGCTATCATTGGCTTAATATATGAACGATATTAATGAGATAATTCATTTTAATTACTAATGTCAATCCTGTTCCACCATGTATTATTGTCATCCATTTGTATACTAGTATAGGTAATTCTGTAGACTGCATTGTTTATGATAATAAAAAAATGTCATTGTCATTGTAGGGGCACATCTTTTTATGAAGAGATTGCGACAGTAACAGGTGGAAGAGTTATCCCTCTTGATAAGTTTGGAGTTCTATTTGACATGCTCATGTCTATCTGCTATAAGGAGAGTGGATCCGACTTGTTTGATGTAAGTATAACTTATTAAACATTAATGTCTTTTTATTTTTCTTATTCATCATGTATGAAGTAGGTACATCTAAAATAAACTTATAATTCGTGCTGATGATGTAAGCAGCTCAAATCCTATATACTCACTATAGTTAAACTAAGAATGTATCAAATTGAACTGTTATAGGCTTATGAAGCTGAAGTTATGGAAAGAGACAAAGGCAAAACAATGGACACGACATTAGCTGGAATATTCACAACCCTCGGGGGCAAGAGGAGCAGTGTTAAGTTTGCCCCGACATTGCCAGGAATGCTTCCTATGCCCGGAACAGGAATGCGTCCAGGCGGACCTGCGATTCCATTACCCTGGTCAGGGAAGTTTCCAGTAGGACCTGCGCCTCCATTACTCGGACCAGGGAAGTTTCCAGTAGGACCTGCACCTCCATTACTCGGGCCAGGAATGTTTCCAGGAGGACATGCGCCTCTCGGGCCAGGATTACTGAAATTAGGACCGACTGGACTTTTCGGAACAACAACCACTCCTACATCTAAATCTGCAAGGAAACGGAATAAAACGACAAAAAAGTCCAAGGTAAAATCTTTAAGCATACATAGTTTATAAATTATTTAATTCCCAGGTGATAGAGGTCTCATGATGCTCGTATGTATTGACGTCAAACAAGTAACGTGGCGGCAGCCAATTGCATACAATTATTGCTTTTGTATTATTATAGCTATTGGCTAACAATGTCCTACTGGGGGATTTAAAAAAAATAGAATAGATATAAGTGCCCACTGGTATATACGTACGTTTATATATTTATGTAAATAAATTCAATGAACTGCTAAGTATCCAAAATTGTTTTACAGAAATCGAAATCAAGAGCTGAGTCAGGAGGGCGATTAAACAGAGAAAGTCTCACAGACACCAAATTCATAAAGGGACCCCTGAAACAACTGGTGTGGTCGAAATGGATGGTAGGCATTTCCAAAACACAGTCTGTGATCGGACCCGACATCGCCTTTACCCGTCGTGATTGGTGTGACGCCTTTTGCAACGGAGGGGTTCTTAAAGGGAAAGATGTGTGTGATGTCCCCGCTGTGTACGAGTTTGCTGTATCTTTGAATGGAAAGAAGAAATCGTACCCCGTTTACTACAGAGTAACAACAGGAGTACCACACGGCAGCACTTGGTTCAACTATCTCTTCGCACAGAAAAAGGTTCGCCGCGTCATCAAAGATGTGGTGAATACTCACACTCAAATCCTGGTAAGGAGGGGCCTGTTTAAAAGGAAAAGATCTTCATTCATCCAGAAAGTGTCCCAAATGATGTTTAAGAAGTATGATTATGCATGGACCGGGCGTAAAGAGAGAAAGATGAAATTCCGAAGCCTAAAACGATGCGGGGTTCCCATTTCCAGCAATTCATACTGAACAACAAGTGGGGTAACCATGACCATTTGTATGACAGCGACTCATACTGAACAACAAGTGGGGTAACCATGACCATTTGTATGAAATCGACTCATATCGTATTTGACATCCGAGATCCTAACACTCACTTGTACATTTATTGTTTGTTTTCTGATAACATAGCCATGTTTATTTATATTTCGTATTTGGTATTTGCACTAGTGGTCTCTGCACTTGTGATTATTATTTCTTGTTAGACTAATAAGTTACGCAATAACCTTTTCGTGTTGTATTGGTAAAGTACTAACTTGGTTTTTGTGTTGTTTTGGTATTTATATACAGTAATCCTTTATCTATTATCAAAGAAACGATATTATTTGGACTCTCGAAGAAACTATGTACCTCAACAATTAATCATAACATTAACTAACTGTTTATCAAATAACAATCGCATCGCGCTATCAGCGTTATGATTAAGGCACTTCCTTAATTGTATGTCTCTTATTCAATTTCGGAAAGACCAGAAATTTTTTAACATCCGGGTCTTGCCTTTAGTTTTGTGTTGCAGTGTCTTACTGTCCTTCACTTTTTTGTGTTTCTTCATAGTTGTTGTTATCATTGAGTTCAATGTTGACCTTGATGATTGACCCTGCCATACCTTTTTTGTGAAGAAATGCTTATAAGAAGGAATAGCAATACAGAAGTTGGATACTTTGGACTATTACCACAGGACTACTCTTTACTTAAAACGTTTACAGTCACTATTAAAAGTGTTTTCTTTTTATTTAAACATATTTTTATTTGCATCTTATATACAAAAGGGATTGGGCACAAGTTGTCCAACTTATGTAAAGCCCTTTCCCAATAACATAATGAAATACATATATACAAGATGGCAATTTTTAAATTAATTAATATTTTCTATTAAGTTTAATGTTACAGAGAGAGAGAGAGAGAGGCATAGCTTGAAGATATTTAATGTGAGATCGTGGTAGTGATCTTCTCCGACACAGACGGCACTAGTAGAAGTGTTATGATGAGGTATTTGTTGTTGTATGATGTTTAGTTTTTACGACGTGTTCTCTATTTGAGAAATAAAAAGCTTTTGTTATATATGTATCTTAATGTGTTTGTGGTTTTTAGTTGCAAATGGACCACTGGACATTTTTCTCCGTTTTATATAAAACTATTGCGTTTTAGTTAAACGGAATATTAGATGATAAAAAACTTAACAGAGGGGTTGCTATAACAAATAGTTTTTTTTTTTATAAACCATATTTTATTTCGTAAATTTGCAATTACAATATACAGGACATTTAATTATTACATACATGAAATAGGATCCAGAAACAAGTTATTAAACTTCTATCAATCTGTTTCCTTAGCAGAAATAATAATGGATAACAGAGACTTGGAGTAGAAGAAAGAGGAGAAGAAATAGGAAGAGAATAAAGAACAGCATTTGCTAATGTACCAAACGTTAACCTATGTAAATGTCACTGATGTCATAACGGATACATAACAGTAGAAAATATATGCTGTGTACTACTACAAAGATGCTACGAAAATACTAATAGCATATGGCACAACTGATATGGGGAATAACCCTTCTAAGTTCCTGTTTGAATTTGTGCTATTTCATAACTCAATTCGGGAGTTTCACAATAAATGTTTAGGATCTTTTACCGATTATTGTAAACATTGACTAAGCACCAGTACATGTATCCTCCTTATATTGCCATTATTTGTCCAGAAAATGTTGGCGTTATAAAAGGGTTTGGGGATAAATTGAGGGAAATGTATAAAGGAATTATTTAAAAAAACACGAGAAAACGGGCGCTTGAATTATATTGGCAGAAAACGGAGTGGCAAATGAAACGAGGGGCTTTATATCGTTGTCAGTATAATGTGACCGGGCGGAATGCTGTGCTGGGTGCCTTCGGCATGGTATTTTAGTGAGATAGCACTATAAAGTCGGCATCAGATCCGCGCTTTTACAAGGAGGCAAGTACACCAAAATGATCCGTCTCCGGCACAGCACAACAAACACGTTTAAAGGGCGTTGAACAAAAATAAAAACTAAACCCAACCCAATCAGAAGATATCAGTAAAGCTATTAACAGAATGTGCATATTTAACATCGGCATCAAAATCGTCCATAATCTTACCGAAGAAAGTATGAATGCATTGTTGGATCTCTGTAATCGATTATTTGAAATGATATAATGATCAGAGTTTCTTAAACTATACGGTGTAACAGTAGATAGCAGGGATGTCTTTAAGGTATGAGGGGTAATATTTTTTTGTGTAGTTTATAAAGAAAGATTGAGAATTGTGAAGCGGTTTTTCGACAGTTTTCCGCTATGTTTCAAAGTAAAAGACAAAACACGCCACTTCTAACTGTAATTTTCACTATTTACATGTAAACAAAGTGAAATAAAGGTTACATAAATCCTATTTTATATTTTTTAATATTTAAAGTGTATTTTAGTTTGTCATGCATTAGTTTCCTAACAACTACTATATCATCAATGTGATGTGACCATTTACAGTTCGCATCTAGATAAATGCCTAGGTGTTTGTGAGGTTCAGTAAAATATATATATATTAACATTATCAAAAAACGTTCATAACTGATTCTGCGTTAGTACTTGAAATATAAGTAATGCATCAGTTTGAAGAGGATTAAACTTTATAAGGCTGCTGTCAGTCCATATTTGAATTTTCTAAATCATTGTTGGTGATAGTTCAAGTTCATTTGCAGAAAAAACAGACAGAGAGCGAAGTGTCATTATAGCAAGTAAGAGGGAAGACTCCCAATGTTGCCAGCTTTACTATAAATAACGGGCCCAGGACAGGACCTTGTGATACGCGAGAATTTGTTTTTCCGCTTAACGATTACAGTGTTTAATCATAAAATGTCTACAGTAAAATGCCCTTTTAGCTTTTTTGTTTTACTGGGTTTGCGATGTGAGAGGATTATTAAGAGATGAATCGAATTTATTCCAGGAAGTCAAACAACAAAACATAGAAACAAGATACGGAGACGGAATACAATAATACACAAAAACGGTTAATTCCAGATATTCTATTGATGGTTATAATATAATATATACCATGTATATAACATTTTGGTGGTTATCTCTCATCCTTATATTGCGTATAGCTCTGAAGTGAACCATAAATGGTGTATCATAAGGTCGAATTGGAGTACAGTCTTCTGCAATATCCGAATAGTTTTAGTAAATATCAAACATATTTCAACGTACCTCATGCACAGTAAGTAGTTCCTGCCGATGTCTCTGATAAATAATTAAATATACGGTAACAGCAAATCATGTTATTATTTATTGGTACGAAATAAATTAAGTTTAATTTCGAAAATGGTAACATCATGATACGATATATCCCTGTATGTTGAACATTAGAAAAGCCGACCGCGCGCGCGCATGAGTGAGGACCTACACGTGTATGCTGGTTTATAACATTAGAGAGTTGATCTAGAGTAATAATATCATTTAATGTATGACGGGTTTCAAGCATTAAGTCAACATTTACTACAGTACCCCTTCAGTTGAAAATGGTGTGTTACACCAGATTACATTCGAATCTCACCTTATGGACGCTCATGTGTAAACCAATCAGAAAGCGTTGCGTCGTATATTTTCTCAATTTATTGGGATCCGTCGGCTCTTTCCGTAAACGGTATTTTTCTCATTTACAGACGAGATTCCTGATTGAGATCGCTGTATAAGTAGAGATGTTAGTTATCACTCCCGTGAAGTTTCATAAGCGCCAAACAAAAGCACAAGAAGGTCACACAAACAAACAAAAGAATCACGGTAACAATTGTATGCCCCTCCCCTAACTTTTCGTATCGGGGACATAATTTCATTTATTAGATTGGAAACAAGTACATCCCCCCTTCTATTTTATTTAACAGTCACATATTTGAAAACGCTCACGAAACCATGAAACGGTTATTGATTTCAACAAATATCCCGCCATGGTGGCGCTGAAAAACTGATGATCACGTGATCAAACATGCTCCGCCCCTCATTAATATTCAGGAGGAAAAGTGGCCCTCATTTCTCCATATATGCTCCAGGAAAAGTTATTGAATTCGATCCAGATCTTCTTTACATTATAGTAGCACTGCTGAGTAGTAACGTTACATACCAGCTGTTTGGTATAGTGTATTAGACATTTGGCATACTGCATATATTACCAACTGATATATAGGTACGACCGCATGTATATGTCTTATACGTTCATCTTTCAAGATACAATTAATTAATGTTTTAGAACCCGAGGTTTGCCGTAACCTTGCAGTTCATATATTCTGTTTCATCAATTTTTTTTTATTTGAAATTAACTAGTACTCATTTACTTCTTCAATTTCATGTTAGAAAGGGTTTTAATGCAACCCCTCTTCTGTTTCAACGCAGTTAAACTAATTGGGATTTCCATCGTTTTGGCCTCAAGCATCACCGATGAGTCTTAGAGGGACGAAATAATAGTTGTATGGTCCATTGTAATTCATTTTTGGCACATTGTATCATCTTCATCTTCATCTTGTAAGCTTCCTCCGTCGATACCGACCATTACGGAAGTCGGTCTTGTGCTTGTGCATTAATTATCATGTACAGTGATTTTTTTTTTTATTATATTTTTGTTATTTGCTATAGGATACAAAACAGGTTAAAAGCAGTGAGTGAGTGTTAGTTATGTTGTAGGTTTTGTATATGTTCGATTATGTCATACGTGGTGCATGTCCTGAATTCTGCTAGTGTTTCTGATTGGATGATTGTTTTGGGTAGGAGGTTCCACTGTGTTATGGTGTACGGAAAGAATGAGTGTCTGTATGTGTCTTTGGATGTGTAGATATGTATGTAACTAAGGTCGTGTCCTTGACGTGTTCTGGTGTCTGCCGGGATGAGATTGTTGGTGTGTATTGCTACTTGTTGGTGTATTATTTTGTAGAGAAGAATAATGCGTGTTATTGTTCTGCGTGTGTGTATTGTTGGCCATTGCAAGGTATGTATCATATCTGTGACTGAGCTTGTGTTATGGTATTTATTTAGGACATATCGTGCTGCTCTTCGTTGTACTTTTTCTAATTGATTTATCTTATTTGTATAATGTAGGTCCCAAACTGAAGAGCAGTATTCGAGTTGTGGTCTTACAATGGTCTTGTATGCGTGTTCTTTTATGTGTGGTGAATTTATTTTAAGGTTGCGTTTCAGAAAGCCAAGTGATTTAATTGCATTTGATGTGATGTTGTTAATGTGTTTGTCCCATTTTAAGTTGTTTTGAAGTGTGATGCCTAGATATTTGTCTGAAGATACATATTCTAGTGTGTGGTCATGGAGTGTGTATTGGTGTTTTTGTGTGCGTTTTGGTGATATAGTGAGTATGGTGCATTTGTCTGGGTGGAATTTCATGAGCCAGTCCTCTTCCCATTTACTAGCTGCATCTAAATCTGCTTGTAGTTTTGTCGTGTCGTCTTTGTTGTTGATTGTTTTGTATAGTATGCTGTCGTCTGCAAAAAGTCTTAGTGTACTGTGTGATATATGAGGAAGAGGACTGGTCCCAAACAGGTTCCTTGAGGCACTCCAGATGTTACTGGGATTTTGTCGGAGTGCTTGCCCTCAAGTACTACTGTTTGGGTCGGTGTGATATGAAGTCTGTTATCCATGTTAGTGTGGTTCCGGTGATGCCGTAATGATTGAGTTTGTACTGTAGGTGTTTGTGTGGGACTTTGTCAAAGGCTTTGTCAAAGTCCATTATGATAATGTCTGTTTGTTTGTCGTTGTTGTGGTTCTGTGCGAGGTCTTGTATGAATGTAATGAGTTGTGTTTCGTAAGATCTTGATGTGCGGAAGCCATGTTGTAGGTCATGCAGTATTTTGTTGTCTTCTAAGTGTTTTATAGTTGCGCTTGTGATGATGTGTTCTATGAGTTTTCATGCGATGCATGTGAATGATATTGGTCTGTTGTTTGTTGGGTTGTTTTGTCTCCTTTTTATGTATATGGGGTTTACGTTGGCGTGTTTCCAGTCATTGGGTAATGTTCCTGTATTGAGTGATGTTTGGAATATTTTTGTTAGTATTGGTGCTGTGATATCCTTGAGTTCATTTAGTATTCTGCCGTGTATATGGTCTGGGCCTGTTGCTTTGTGTGGGTTAATGTGGTTTTAGTAGTTTGTCGACTCCTTGGCATGTTATGTGTATATCTGGCATGGGTGGATGAGGTGATATTCCTTTGTCAGGTATTGTTGTGTTTTGTTCTGGTGTGAAGGCTTCTTGGAACTGTTCATTTAGTATGTTTGCCTTTATTTCTGGGTCTGTTGTGAGGTGGCCATTTTTACGTAGCGCTATGATGTCTGTTATTTCTTTTTTTGTGGTTTTGATGATCGAGAAGAGTTTTTTTAGGGTTGTATTTGTTCCTTTTGCTGGGGTCTTCAGGTTCGCATATTGGTAGATCTGTATAATCATCTTCTCAATGTATTGTAGGTATGCATTGCGGGTTTGTTTTAGTACTTCAGCTTTTACTGTTTTGTATATATATGTGTGGATAAGTTTGTGGGTTGTCCTTGATTTGTGGTGGAGGCGTTTAGACTTGTTTGAGAGGCGGCGAAGTGAGTTGTTCATCCAGGGTAGTCTGTGTTTGTATGTTAGTGATTTTATTGGATTTTTTTTCTCTCCTGTAAATGTATGTAGTGTTGTTTTGAAACTTACCCAAAGGTCTTCTGTGTTTTGANAGGTAGTCTGTGTTTGTATGTTAGTGTTTTTATTGGAATTTTTTTCTCTCTCCTGTAAATGTCATATGATGTAGTGTTGTTTTGAAACTTACCCAAAGGTCTTCTGTGTTTTGATGTTCTAGGTCCTGAAAGTTGTTATTTAGATTAGTGAGGTCTTTTCTGATGTTGTCCCAGTTTGCTTTGTTATATAAGTTAATGTTCCTAGGTGGTTTGCGTGTTTTTTTGTTGTCTAATGTCTGCTTCTGTATATATGATGTCGTGATCTGCCTTGCCTATCGGTGGGACTCTTTCTTGTTTATTGATGATGGATGTACGATTTGTGAGGGTTAGGTCAAGGATGTGTTCTCCTCTTGTGGGTTTGTCTATGGTTTGGGTGAGGGAGTTGTCGTCGATGATGTCTAGAAGGCGTTGATGTAGGGTTGTGTCTGGTTTGCCTGGTGTTGTGGTGTTGTTACCGGGAAATATAACCATGCATAGACGTATATCAGTATTCGTCTTTGATGCATTTATTTTGTTAATCGTTTATTTTTATTATCATTTTGAAACTTTGGAAACATCCTCTGAGGGCGCCTTAGGATATTTAATAAAATTGCATTATATATTGTGTATTGAGCACGATTCATATCTCACACATCATCTCTCGAGTATTTCAGTTGCAGGGTGGCATTTGGGGGCATTTTGAGTTTGAGCTTTTTTATTTTTACGAGGTTGATTTAGATTTTATTTAAAAACAACAACATAAGGAAGTATTAAACCACATGTTACCAAAAGCAATCGATCAAAGATTTTCAAATTCAATAAAAACTGATTTCCGGAAAACCGTATGCCCGTTGCCTAAACGGATATTATTCATCACATAAACATTTCCGGTTAAAATCCGTAGCAGTCGGCCTGTGACTTTTAAGTGAATTTTATGTTGGCATCTATTTTACGTCGATATATTGATAAATAGCGACACAAAAGCTCGGTGATTTTGTTTTCAAACCGAATGATTCAGCACATGAGTATAATTAGCATTAGTCATCTACATTTCTATGTTTCTGGAGGGTCCATCATCACTGTACCAGAGAAGTTAATTTAGTAGATAACATCAAGATTAAAGGCCCGGGCAAACGCCCTCATGCTTCTATTCTCACTGAAATGTAAGTATTGAGACCAACTTTATTGAGAGAGATACGCGTCTAACAAATTGAGAAACATAACGAGTTTGATTGCAGCTGTTGAAAAATGTCGTTATTTAAACAGAGGTACCCCTGGACATAACAGTATTAATTAAAACATGTGTAACAGGACTTGTCAGGAGCGGGAAAAATGGACGACCAGACCGGGGTTCGAACCCGGTACCCTCCGAGTTCTAGATAGATGCCCTATCGATTGAGCCATATGGTGACCGACGTTCAACCCAGTCCATATTTTCCTCGAAGACCAGGTGCCACGGTAGCCGTGATCACTAGTGGCTCAGTCATTTCTACTATGTGCAATCAAGCGTAAGCTTTAGACCACTCACTCTCCCAAGAATTCGATCCCAAGTGGTGGCGGAAAAAGAGAGTGATGTATGATAGGGTTAGTTGTTATCCCTCCGATGACATGGTGGTTTTCCCCTGTGTTTTCCACCACAAAAACAACATTTGTTCCCTTAGTGGCGTCGTAATAAAAGTTCTACAGAGCTTATGTTAAATTGTTTGTTATTGACAATGTACACGACTTTAAATAAAGATAATTTATTTCATATATATATTTATAGACAACTTACACTATTTACAACTCCAGTTCAGGTGTCATCTTGTCAAGCATTCACTTAGTACGTGAAAAATGGGTTGGTCACATGCACCAAAATTGCAAATGTAACAGAAGCGGAAAAATACACGGCTAAACTGGGGTCCAAATGTGGGACCTCCTGAACTCTATAGATGGACATATGCATTCTACCAGTTGAGTTACCTAGTTGCTGAAGATCGATTGACCCAATCACTACACAGGCTTTAGTATGTTTTAATTAATCTGTGAAGTTCCAAGGCATGTGTCACATAAGGTTTTCTATATGTGAGATGGTATATGTACTGTATCAAATAAACTGGTGTAAATTAAAGGAAAAAGAAAATGCAGCCTAGAACATCCAATCTATAGGCCGACCCTCTATCCAATTGAACCACATGGTCATCAGCTAGCTGTCACCTGACCCTGTCCAGCTACACATCTCACTCCTTTTAAAAACCTGCTCCCGAAGACCATCCAGCTGCAGGTTGATCATGAGGTATCCTCTTGACAAGAGCAATGTGAGCTACGTCTGTAACATCGGTTGGTCTATCGGATTGTCCCCACTGAAACAGGAGAGGGATATAATGCAACAGCTGGCCCGACCATGATTCAAACTCAGGGCCTTAATTAACTGAATTGGCCTTAAATACATATAAATAACTCAAATTGTCAGTGGGCCAATCGCCCATATAAAACTTTAAAAAGTCATGAACTAAAAAAAGAACACTGTTTTAATTTAGAAATTGTGCATCCTTATGTCCAGCTGTACATGTCTGTTGGCTTAGTCCCACTATACTGGTACTGAGCAACACAAAACATATTGTCCATCACATTACTTACGATAACACTGGTTTGAAGGCATACGAAAAGTCAGTCTCACACCCTTTAGCACCAGCTGAATACATTTTATCATGTGCATATAGGTCCATCAAATGCCAAACCCCATTATAATGCCATCATTATGCTTGACACATGTATACGGTGGCAATATAACAAGGTTTAACTCAAACTGTTACGTTGTATGTAATGACTACAGGTCATGGTCATGATCTACATATATAATGGGATCACTTCCATTAAATCTGCAGTGTTAAGGGACTATGTTGATAGATTTTTCCTTTCCTTATATATATTACAAAATGTAAAAACTAAGATGTGGTGTGCATGCCAAGGAGACTATAAACAGTGGGGTCAATGCCTTTGACATTAGAAAATATGCATGATGGATCATTGGATCATAAGGACCCCCCCCCCCAACAAACTATCATATAAATAAATTTTGTATGACGTAGATCATTGCCATGCTGTGGTTCCTGGCCAGGTTGCACAAATTTTGAGTAAATTTTATTTTTAGGAGTTTTCATACAAAGAACAGAATAAAAGTTTTGAAGATGCAGATCGTGTAACTGTACAATCTTGTACTGTATGTGTCTGTGCTATACATACCAAATGTAGATTGTGTCTTTTTCTTTTTTTGTATCTAGAATAAGACTAAAGCAAAGAAAACTGGAGGGATGCTTATATCTGCCCTGATCAACAAGCGTGATGTATATTTATAGAAAAGTGAGGCGTAGCATCATCCGAAGGTTTGGAGGTAGGTATAGCATAGCAAGCATGTAAATGGTGACACCGTGTGGATTATCTAGATCTGCATAAATTCATTTAATTGTTTTCAAACAAACTCTGTTTATAGTTATTGAAACCAAACAAAGAAAAAAAACAAAAAAAATCAGAATTGATATTATTTGAATACCTTACTCATATTTTTTTTAAAATAAAAATGTACTTAACTTGAGTTTCAAAAATACTCTTGAAAATACTTAGGCACATTTTTATCAAGAGCACATATTGTTAACCCTTTCACCCCTATGTAACTTTAGTATACTCTGCCATGCATAGATATGGATAAGTCCATTATGGTCTACAGTGGTGAAAGGGTTAATGTCTGTCATTGATAATACAACCCATGTGTTTCATTTAAAATATACATTTCTGGATTTGATGCTCTGTATTATATTATTGAATAAAGGAAGGGTTCTTAATTATAGCTACTTATCATAAGTACTGCTGTCAAGAATTGTAGCTGTTCCTATAGAGCACGACGGGCTAGGCGGGCAAACTGATATGTTTGTGTCGTGTTGTTTATGACGTAGTAGAGATTGGACTTGTAGCTCTTCCTCTAAAGCCACTAGCTATATATATAGGGCTGTTGTTGCACTGCATGTAAAAAAGTAATTCATGTCCCGGTCAGTAACACTATACTAAGACTGAGAATTTCAGCCAAGTAAAGATTGGTAAATGTACTGACAGAAATATCATCTACGGTTTAGTATGTAAGAAATGTGAAAGGGTTGTGTATATGTGGGTTAGACAGAACGCTCATTGAAAGAACGGTTCGAGGAAGATGTGAAAGACGTTCGACTCAGGGCAGAAAAACCTATCAATAGACATTTCCTCGACCATTCAGTCGATGATGTTGGGGTGACGGTGCTACAGCGAGTATACAAGGAAGGCAAGTCATATAGACTCTAAATTGAGGACATATATGGATAAAAAAAATTAACACCAAATTGCCTTATGGGTGTAACATCCTGAGGAACTTCTGAAGGGAGAATCATGGCTCTCAAAATTGCATTGCATTTCCTGTACCTCCGAATACGCAAGATGGACATTACTTGAAACTACCGTTGACTTTCGTCTTTGAAGAAGGCCAGCCAGTAGGCCGAAATATTGGGACTTAAAACAACATTTGTTCTATATGTTTATCTTGTTTCCCTTGTTTCCCTTTGGAAATCATCTGTTGTTGACATTTTCTCACCCTCGTGATAAACTCAACCAAAGTACATACACATATGTTGATTCCTTCTTAATTATGTAACTGAAAGGTGCAATCACTTAACTGAAAGATCCAATCACTTAACTGAAAGATCCAATCAAAGATTCAATCACTTAACTGAAAGGTGCAATCACTTAACTGAAAGATCCAATCACTTAACTGAAAGGTGCAATCACTTAACTGAAAGGTGCAATCACTTAACTGAAAGATCCAATCACTTAACTGAAAGGTGCAATCACTAAACTGAAAGATCCAATCACTTAACTGAAAGGTGCAATCACTTAACTGAAAGGTCCAATCATTTAACTGAAAGGTGCAATCACTTAACTGAAAGGTGCAATCACTTAACTGAAAGGTCTAATCATTTAACTGAAAGGTGCAATCACTTAACTGAAAGGTGCAATCACTTACAATATTTGTTTGTTATAATAATACTTACATGTCTCTTAAGGATGTTCCTCCATTTCCACAGGTTACAGAAAATTGACTGTATGTACAGGTGTTTTAATGCTATGTCTGATGGTGTATTACTACAGATCTCCCGTACTTCATGCAGGTAGGTCTATATTACTCAGTTCAGTTAGGTAAACATCTCTTCAATTACAAAATTTTTCTTGAAATTTTGATGAGAATATTTTTTCACCTGTACTCTCTACGCTTTTGCATTATTGTTTCAAGTTTTCAAGGATTCAAACATTAAAATAATTTTTAAAATTGATAATTTGTAGTAGCAAAAAAAAAAATGAAAACAAATTTAATTACCTGTAATCTATCAAGTTTTTATACATATTACTAGCAGAAATGTTTGAACAGGTACATTGTATTATATACATTTGTACTTATTAACAGGTACAAGACAGGTATGGGACGGCAGCATGTTGTCAAAAAATAGCACAGGTAACCTAGCTTTTTATATAAATAATATACAGTCAAAGCTGATTTTACAAACACAAGTTAAAGTAAAATTCATAGAATCTGAATATTCAGTTTTGAAATTGTATTTTCAATTATTCCTTTACACTGTCAACATGTAAGAAGACACCGAAATGGTTTTGTCAAAATAGAAATAAGTTTGCTATAAAAAAAGAGCAAAAATCAAGTTTCTTTCTTTAAATAGCTTGTATAAATTACATACTCATTAAAAATTAGCTTGAACAAATATATGCAATTGTATTCAACAGGTGCTCGATGTGGGGTGAGGTGTCCGGCCGGCCAAAATGCCTTCATGGCTAGGACAGGTACAGGGATTCATGTTAGACCTACAATCTGCTTCAATGGAAGGACGTAAGTCTGTTTACCAGCACAAATATATCAGGAGAGTCAAAACTGTTGACATTGATCTAAAATGAAACAACTTACGTATTCTTGAATATACTGATTAGGCAGATATATGATCATCACCTTAATTGCGGTACTAGTTATTATATCTATATATCAGAAAGTTCTTACCTGTCTGCTGACTTCCAGTCCTTTATAGTGTAATTGATATGTTGATATTTATGTGTCTTGCTTTTGTGTACAAATATCTCTGTTACTTATGTCTTGTTAGTTTTTGATATCAATGAATTATCCCCCTTTTCTGTCTTGATGTCTAGATAACATGTGGCTTGCTAATTTTCCTAACAATGAATAATGTCTTCAATATCTTAACTATCTTGCTTTTCTGGCATGTTTCTTTCGTCAGTAAGTAATTTCCTTTTTATGTCTGAATTGTCTCCCTTATCTGACTCTTCTCTCGTAAATACTCTTCCCTTTTTAGCTCACCTGCCCGAAGGGCAAGTGAGCTTATATCGTGGTGCGGCGTCCGTAGTCCGTCCGTCCGCCCGTCCGTCCTCGTCTGTCAACTTTTCCTTTAAACAACTTCTTCTGAAGAACGGATAGGCCTAGAGTCGTGATATTTGGCTGAAAGCTTTGTTGGTAGGAGCCCGACAACGGTTGAGAACGAAAATGACCTTGACCTACTTTAAAGGTCACAGGGGTCAAATATGTCAAAAACTTCAAACGACTTCTTCTGAAGAACTAAAAGGCAAAGAATCTTCATATTTGGCTGATGGCTTCCTGGGATGGAGATTAACAAAGTTTGAGAATGAAAATGACTTTGACCTACTTTCAAGGTCACAGGGGTCAAATGTGTCAAACACTTCAAACAACTTCTTCTGAAGAAATGAAAGGTATAGAATCTTTATATTTGGCTGGTGGCTTCCTGGTATAGAGCCCAACAAAGTTTGCGAATGAAAATTAGTTTGACCTACTTTCAAGGTCACAGGGGTCAAATATGTCAAAAACTTCAAACGACTTCTTCTGAAGAACTAAAAGGTATTGAATCTTCATATTTGGCTGATTGGTTCCTGGGATGGAGCCCAACAAAGTTTGAGAA